TATAGAGAGTCTTAAAAATTGGCACTGGTAGGAAAGCCATCTTTTGCTTTAGCTATTAGGAAATTATTAATTAAACACAATATGCATACTATTTGGGAGAATAGGTTTATTTCCCAACTTACTGATGAAACAACGTTGTTAATTGGAAAGAAAGAGAGTGATTGTTATTTCAAAAGTTGGAAAGATGCTTTATTTGACGATGTTCGTAGACCCCCAAACAGTAGAAATAAGTTACGAGCGTTTCGCCAATTTAAAACAAATATTTTGTTATGAGAATTATTTGGGTATCGTTCGTGTTCCCCTGTAAGACAAGCTTTAACAAAACTTCGTGCTCTAATCATAAGTTACACATTAAGACCGGTAGATATTATGGAACTCCAGTGAAAAATAGAACCTGCCAATTATGTACAGATACTGTTGAAGATGAGACCCATTTTCTGGTAGTTTGTCCAGCAAAACCACTTTTTGATCGAATTAACTGCATTGAACCACAATTTGAGCTCTTCTTGCAAGATTTGTATACACAGCTTTTCAGATTATATATAATTTGTTAGTGCGAGTTCTCCAATAGATAAGTTATATTTTATTTTATTGAGGCGATTCAAGTCACGCTTGTAACTTTCTTTTTTATATGCATTGTAACCTGTTCCCCCATGTTAATGGGGTATACTTCTTTAGAGAAATGGAAATAAAGTAATAATAATAATAATAATAATAATAATAATAATAATAAAATATAATATTGTTGTCTGTAAAACGTATCTGTATATAATTCATTGAATGTAAGCCTCACGATCCATTGGTTTAATCTTTTGTTTATATATTTCATTATATACATATACGTGAGAGTGAAAATTATTTGTATATAGCATAAGTGTAATGACAATACAATTTATTTATAAATAAGGGAAGCAAAATTGTATATAAATAAGTAATGCTGTCTATTTTATTATATACAAATTAATTTTAGGGTTTATTAATATACTAAAATTTTATATAACATTTTACTCTGCATATATAAGTGAGAATTGTGTATTTATTACAAATAATTTGTTTATTACAATAACATGACAATTTCTTTATATATATTATATTGGAAGAAAAATTGTATATAAAATGAATTATGAATAATTTATTATATTCAAATACGTTCAATATAACTTCATTATATATAACAAATTGCGAGTTTGAATCTCGTGTTTCGTGTGTATATGTTTGTGCACGTGCCTGTTATTTCGATTACAATATATAACCGCGTTCCTGGATATGTTAATCATGATTCAACGTTCTACGTACACCATTGTCAGCCCTAAAAAATGCAATGTCAATAGAATACTACTTAGACTTAAATAAATCTATGATTGACAGTCATTTTCAAAATTCACTTGTAAGTTGAAACCCTTGTCATGCCTTGTTCATTTCTAGCAATCCTTCCCATGCATCCATTGCGTTCTGTGGTGTGCATGGTTAGAAGCCGTCCTTTTGACGTGCGGATGGAACTTGAAGTTCATTTTATATCAATGAGCATAGATAGTAACCATTGCATTCAATTGTCTTGTAAATTCTTAATAATGTCAAATACTAAACTGTTGTATTTGTTACAAATGCAAACATGATTCATGTAAAATTCGTAGTGTCTCACGACTCAAACCAAATAACACTGACCCTCCTTAACTTAGATAAAAAAATGAGGTGACTCTAAAATCAAAACCAGTGTGGCCCTCTCCTTTACAATCCACTTAAAAAACAGAGGTCTCCTCGTTATTGGCACGCTTTTTAGTTTACAATACACTGACCGAAAGTGGTACCTATACGCTTGAACCAGCACAGCTACTCATGCGATCAACTATACATACATTCATATTTCATCTATCTCGCTGACTTCTTCTGAGGGGACTTGTGGTAGAAATTATGATTCGTGGTGCGGAAATATGCCATGAATTGTTAGATGTGGTATATTGTAACATTGCAGTTTTATTCAGTAATGCGTTGACGTCATCATGACGTAATTGCCACATGAATGCCTACGTTAAATATCGCATAATAGTTTCTGGCTTACTCCATCATTTTGCCCAGGAATACTGCACGTTTTTCTCCGTCAAGGCCGCACATAGCGTTGAAGAGGTTGGAAAAAAAACGCAGAGTGTTTTGTTTTTACAACAGTGGTTAACAAAAAGTAAGCACAGCCGATATTC